GTCGCACTGGTGCTTGCACAATTAATTTTGGCTTTAACTGACACTCGAACGAATTTCGAAAATAAGGTGGTGAGATTTTTTAATATTATGCGAGGTCGCAAATTTCATACAGAAAAAATCGTTGAGATTAGAAAAAGCTCGATGAAGAAAATTTGATTTAGTACCAACTGGGTCTGGAATTATTTTGAAAAAATGTCACATCAAATTTTTTGAATTATCAAAATCAAAAATTCCTTTATCAATTACCTATTGGTAAAGGGGCACGAATAAAAAAGTTATCGGCTCTCGTGTATTGGCACTCGCAATAGATAAGACTTGAAAGGGATCGAGCTTTATCTGACAATCCATATGGGACGAACGTCGTGAATGAAAAAAAAGCTCAACCTCGACGTACAAACTGCCGTGTTTAACCTTTCACTTTACTTTGCTGACTCGGTGACAGGGGTTGATAAGAAGAAAAAAGGGAGGGGGAAGCTTGTAAAAATCTGAAGACTCTCCGGGTAAGGAAACGTTACTGGAAGTGAAAAAAAAAGTAGGAAAGAAAGTAGAGTGATGAGCTTGTGTCAAAATCAGAAAGCTTCATTGTGTGTACGGAACTTCATCCTAATGGATATTATTGATGAACAATGTCAATATACAACAACATTTATCTTGTTCGTTATAGCACAATGTAGACGACTGATAAAGCTTGGAGCTTTCACCGGCGGATGTCACGTTGGAGGTTTATACATATATACTTGCCTCTTATGTTTCCATTTTATTGTATTTTGATTTACTTTGATTTACGTCAAATAATTGCTTTCTGATTCTCACGCTGATATTAGAGGAATTATTAAAGATCGTTATACACACGTATATTGCTAAATGCATCGGATTCACTTTTGACATGTAGGAGAATGAAATTGCATAACATGGGCAAATTTCCCTGCATTCGATTTATAACCGATAAATCAGCAGCTTCTTTTCTATATGCGATTTTGCATGGATGAACAAAGTGGGATGGTAAAATGAAAGTTTCGAAATTGAAAAAGCAATATTTAGTGAGAAAAAAAATTTTCTGATTTCCCTTTTACGTGAATACGATTCCTGTGATGAAAGAGTTACGAGATACAAGAACTCCGCAATCCGTAACGAGAAATTGACATTTTTGTTAATAATTTACGATCTCAATTTCCTTCGAACAAGAAAAGTCTCATTATTAGTTTTTTAATGGAAAATTCTTCGCTTGTAAATAAAAGAGAAATAAATATTTTTATCTGGATAACTCGATGAAAGGCAATTTTACTTTACTATATCTTTCTCAGTTTCGCTGATGAAACGTAGTCGATGGATGGAAATGGTGAATAAATTTTTAATTCACAAAAATTCAGTGTAAATGCGCCTTGTCTCGTGACAAAAATCACTTAGAGTTTCCTGAAAAAAAAGTTACCACACAAGTGACCTTCGTGAAAGTTCGTGGACGGCTGGTAACTCGTATTTCCACAAGATCTGAGACATTTCCCAAATAAAAGTAGACGCGAGGCGAAGAAAGAAAGAAAATAAATAATGCAGCCGGAAGAACCGGAAATTATTTTTATCCGTGATATACCACAGTTTCGTATTATTTCGTTTACTGCCTACGATCCATTGCGGAAGATAACACGAGTCTTCCTCCCAAGTTTCCGCGAGCTTCTTCAGCTTTTAGAGAATCGAGATAAACAACTAACCCAAATTCCAAATATATTTTTCCGTATTCAATCCACGGGCGAGTAAAATTTCGTATCGTCACATTTGAGATTACGCAACGATTAACTGCAGTGCTGCCCTCTGCGCCACTTGAGTTTCTCGCGACCACGTAGTGAAATAGTTTATACGAGGAATCAAATTTGCTGAATGCAGAGAAGTCATGCTACAAATTTCAACGGGATATGTAAACTCTGAGTCCGCGAAATTGCGTAAATCGTACAAACACCTGGAGGAAATTTCCAGGTTATGTTATGCTGTTCAGACGTGACGTTCATGCTTCGCGAGAAGGCCGACTGTGTAGATTGTGTACGCGTTACGGTATTATATGAGAATATGGAACGCGGCTGTAAAATATTTTTTTTTAAATCACAAGAAAAATGACAGAGCAGAATATATATTTTGTAGTTCAAAAAAATTGTGCAACAAGCATCCTTAGGATATATGCTGATGGTAAGCTAAAATATTTTATCATTAATCTTAGTTACTTCCCTTATAGACAAAAATTCCATATTCCAGTAGGATTGCCTGAGTACAACCAGCATGCTTTACACGATGCTGTTGTTTTGCTGCTGGCAACATGCTGGGATATTTTATAGGATCGGTCGTTTTTCGTCCACCTGGATTTATTACACGTGCAATGAGCGTCACTCTGGGTGAACGTGTGCGAATCAATATATTAAAAAATTTAATGTACAATTAACAGGCATATGCATATATGCAAATAATATCAGCATATTGAATGTTCCATCGGACGGACGTTGACTTTCGTACGTTGCAAATAGATAGTTAAAACGTTTCTCGGGAATTTCCCTAGAGACTGAGAGTCCTGCTTCAAACTGTGCCACCAATGCAATAATTAACCGGCCCTCCTAACTTTGCCAATCCAAATAGCAACGCTAATGTAACGTCCCATACGAAATTAATTTCATTCGATAGAAATAATATCGCACGATTAAACGTTGACTGATCAGCTTGTGAAAAAGGTTGATACGAGCATAAATTTCACGTGCACACGTAATACCTGCTGCTCTAATAAAACTTTTTTTTTCAAGGATCCACTTTTCTCATCTCCTGCAATGTCGAACAAAAATAGAAAATCCAGTACAATCTTCCCTAGTAGCGACAGTAGAATCAAATGGATTAAAAAAGAAAAAAAATAATTTCCGACACTTGCTGGAATATAATAACAAGTCCCGTGATCACGCTCGTTAAACGATCCTCCATTATCATTATTAACGTCTCCGTTGGATATTTTTTTACGTCATTGTCTCCCCCCGTCTTTTTCTCACCCTTTTCATCAGCATTTTCGTTTTTTATGCCTGCTCCCATAAAAAAATTACCCCGAGCATCATAAAATTTTGAGGGAGCGATCTTTAACGTTTCGAAAAAAAAAAATACTATACCCGCCTTCTCTTCCCTCAGAATTTATTTATTTTTTTTTATCGCACAATATCGCTCACCTTTCCGAACGGATGTATCTTATTTTTTTCCACAAAAAAATAATTTAATAAATTACCTGCCGCATCTTCGGGCTTCGTGAAAGACCTTTTTTATTTTATTGTTTTAGATATTCAATCAACTGTTGAAGACAATCTGCCGAGGGACCGAGGTGTAACAATTTTACAAATTTGACATTTTCATTCTGCCCGCTCGTACTGCTTCGTCTGTGACGCAATACCAATTCACATGCTGCTGTTACATTTACTGGCAGCTTGCATTCCTTGACATTATGATATGCACGTAGCAGGAATGCGTGGAACGGCATGGATTAAATTCTGATCGGACCTCAGGGAATACTAGTCAGTCGACATTTGACATTTGATTGTGAGCTGATTGAAATTAATCTTGATAGAAGGAGACGAGTACTTTATGCCTATAGACTTATTGTATGATTTTATTATCTTTGTTCAAATATTTTTCTTTTAAAGAAAATTATAAGAAACAACTACACAATTCAAAGGGTGTAGAACGGCTTGCAGATAAAAGTAGCTAAGCACTTTCTTAACACGTATATCGTACACTTCCAGTATTATGAATTTAATATTCTATTCCAATTCTAACATGATTTTGACATTTCAAGCTTGGTGTAATTCAATTTGAAAGCATTTAGAGTGTTTGCATACATGATGACGCATGGTACCAATGAAGTTTGATAATTGCACCTACGATGACAAGTTACATTAATCATTAATTATATTCGGTATACTTTATACCGCTGACTTTTAACATAAAATATTCTAGCTTTTATAAGGATCACTTTCTCATGACACGTTATTTATTGTTCAAAGTCAAAAATGATTTATCCTGATAAACTTTGCTAGATCAAGTGTTGCAGAAGCAACCTCTTCGTCTGAGTCATAGCATCCTCCCCATCGTGGGTCTGCAATCAATCTGATGCATTTCGTTCCCAGAGGATGAGAAAATACCCCTGTGCTGGTCGTGCAACTGGGTGACAAGGGTAACCTTAACCATCGCAACTCAATCATCCCTTTATTCGCGTTCTCTCACGAGATGAGCCCTTTTTCTAACTATCCCAACCAGACTGTTACTTTATTCCCGGAAGAACATGATCGGTCCCCAGACAGCTAAGTATGCACTTTCCACGTTTATATACCAGTAAGGAAGCTTGCACTGAAATGAAAAAAAAATTTTGATGCTACATAAGGAAATTAAATTTGTAATATTTATCGAGGTAGGAGCGTCAATTTTAGTAAATAATTATTTGTACAATTTTACATACCACGTCGATACAACAACTGTATGGCTTTTACATAGTTACAAGAATTTGAGATCCCTTATACATGTAACTTTCATGTGCTTCTATGGTGGCTAATTAAACCCTATACCTTCAGGTGAGTCACTGTGATATTATATTAATTGTAAACCTAATAAGGTTTCTTTGCTATCAGTTTGTCCTGTGTATAAATTTTTTAAAAATTATTCATCAGGCTCTGCTGATTCGTCCAAATCATCTGATAACAGACAATGATAATTGTCAAATACGTAAAGCAGTGCTGCTGTCATTAACAGGGAACCAATTCTAACGTTACGTCGGCACTTGCATCGTGCCATTTTGTAAATTTTCGTTTTATTCCTTTGAAAAACACACTCGTCCCGCGACTTTTTGATTGTTCGTAAATTTTGCGCTATCGTTCTGGCCCTTGACATATTTCGTAGGATCGAATCTGTCTTCGGATAATTATACAATTTTTTTATCTGTAATCAGCAACTCAGCTTGAGAATTTCACGTCATTTGTGACTTACCAAACATTTTTTTTTTTATCAATGGGTACGTGCGTATTCGTAAGCACAGTACAGCAAAATTACACCGGCGCACAATTTAACCACGTCGTGCCTCATTTTGTGCCAAAAAATGAAAGTTTAGCCTCTTTTAAATGGTCATTTAACTCATTTTGTTGCTTGAAAAAAATTGAAAATTTTGATAACCTATACGTACTTTCATGATTGAATTTTTCAATTTTCTCTTGGCAATTCGATTGATCGCTACTCTTGGAGAATTTCGCGGAAAATTTTTTATCGACTTCGGTCCACTTCATGTACTTATATGCCCATGTACGATGTCACGTACATTTGAGTGACGTGTGACAGTTTAGAGAAAATTCAAATATCACATTTATCATGGAAAGCTTCTTTGCGAGACAGACAGAAGGTTTACGTGTCCTCGACGATACGGAAATTACTTTTGGAATTTCTTACGGTCCGACAATTTTCAAATCCCATAAGAAAAGCGAGGTTATGTAAAATAATTAATTCTTGAGGAGTTTCTGGTAAAAATCTTTTGAAATACGTAATTCGATAATTGATAATATTTTGTATAACTTATCGATCAACGGTTTATTCTAAAAGTTTAGATGTTGAGAAAAAATGTATTATTTTCAGATTACCCATGGATTTCTCATTTTCAAGAAAACGATATGTCCAAGAATCTTCCACTTCGTTTAGTCAACCGACATTTTGTGATAATTCGAGAAAAAGAAATTCACGTGGTTATAAAAATTTTCAAAACGAACAAGTATTCGTGGAAGATTGTTTTTGCGATTGCGAAAAATGCTTGAAGACAGTTCGTCAAAATAAAAAATCTAATAAAATTGGACGCTCGAAAAAACTGTGTAAGTCATTAAAATCGCCAATATCAAAAGCTCGCATCGAATGCGTCTGTCAAAATCAGCAAGCAGAGAAAGATTCCAATTGTTCGATATATTGTCGATGCCCGGAACAAGTATTTCCAAAAGTGACACGATCAAAAAATTCTTTAAGAAAACTTCCGAAAAGTCCAAAATCAGTGAATAAAGTATCTGAGGAATTTCATAGAAGAGGGATAATCATGAAAAGCGAACAATATAAAAAATTTCAAGAGCATTGTCGAGCTTTGAAATCGAAAGAACGTGTGAACTGTTGCAGAAAATCCCAATGCAATTTTCAAAATTTTGACAGTTCTCCACAGGTGACAGAAAACTTTTCCGAATGTATTTCGGAAACTGATCCAGTATGCACGTGCAGTTCATATGATCGTGCGAAATATCCTATTTATAAAAAATACAGTGACGACAAGATGAGAAATTTGCAAAATAACTTGGAGTATTTTTCAAAAAAATCAAAAAATCCAAACAATTTTAATTTTAAGTATCCGATTACCACCAATTGCAAGGAATGTCACGAGTATCCGCAGAATGTCACCGACGAATACGATGGATCCAGAGAGAATCTGTGGGATTTAAAAAAGGCATTTCGGCATTTAAACATTTCAAAACCACGAGATAAAGGAATCGTTAGAAAATGTCCTGTCAGTAAGGAATTGATATTCAATAAAAAATTTAGACATAAGAAATCATCACCACGTGACCTGATTCTAAAAGATCCGAAGGGCCGTTCCAAAAATCACACTTGTTCCTGTTCCTCGAGTTCGGTATATAATGAATTAAAGGACCCCGTTAGAACTCTCGAATCATTTTGCGAGAAGGTTAAGGCAATAAATCGATCGGAGCCAATTTTATCAGCTTCGAGATCACCGAAAAAATATAGAACTGCTGGTAATTTTACAAATTTTGATAACTCACGACCTTTTCGAGCTACGAAGAATCTGAAGCAGGCGTACCCGTCAAAAGTGACAACACCGAGAGAACACAGTCGTCTTAATAAATACAGTTGCTGTTCGTGTTGCAAGAGAAAAAATTCCTGGCACAGTGATGCCCGGAATAGTCCAAAAACTGATAGCAGTGGAGCCACCAAATTGCGTTCAATATCGAAATCCCGGCAAATTTCAAAGCAGGACAAGTTTCAGGGCAAACCACTGAAAAAGATGTCGGAAAAAATGTTAATCTATCCGCCAGACGGTCAAGACGGACCGCCGTTAACTTTATTTCGAGACTCTTCGAGAGTGGATTGCCGAATAAAAGGAAATCCACGGAAAGGATTTCGATACGACGTAACATATATTCAAAACTTCGTGAGTCCCACGTGGCGTCCCGAGGAAGAGAGCGCAAGTACTAAAGAATCTGATGAAACTTATGAAAAGTGCACCTGTTGCATGGATCACGGCTGAATGGAATTTTTGGAAAATTTTTGGCATTAGTTTCCAATAGCAAAACCATGGCATCGATACGCTAGCTTTTTGCACATTCAAAAAAAAGCGACGAATGTTTTCTTTTATGCCAATACTATTCGTAGGTTCTTTATGTAACGAACTTTTGTAAAGTCTATTTTACATCATTATTTTTTTTTACTGTGACAATCAGCTAATTTTTGTAAAGCTGTTATTGGACGTTTAATACCTAATTTTTTTTTATACGTTATATAAATATCTGAAAAGTCTTTTTTTTTATTTTCTAAATGACATTTGAATTTCGTCTTTCGAACGAGAGACACTTCAAATTATTAAGCGTCAAAATATCAAAGTGATTAATAGCGAAGAGAAATATAATTTTGCGAAATGTGTAAAGGAAAATCATAAATTTATAAAATGCCAAGACAGCTACGGCTAGTAGTAGGAATAGCCTTAATTCTTTTGGCAGTAGATCATATTCTGTCTCATTAACCAAAAAAGGTATATTTACGCCGTCGCAACCTTAATCAACTCCGTGTGCGTTATGAGAAAACAAGAAGAAATCCAAAGTTCTAGATTTCGCTTGTTCGTTTCAGCTGTTTCGATAATTTCCTGTCACCAACGTGTGGAACGATCAAAAAATTTAGCAATCAGACAAAATTCTCACACGTGCCGTTTGTTAAGGTGAAAATTTTAAAAATGCGTGTACTGGACATTGCAATTGTCACGTTATTATTATACTGTGCCTACGAGATATTACGGTAAACGTCCATAAAATCCAGGTAAAATCCTTTACTGATACCACAATCAAAGAATAAAAAAAAGGTTTGACATGAAAACACTAAAATTTTCTAAATTACAGCTGATGCAACAAATTCCGAAAAATCCCCACACCGTATAAATTGCAAAAGCAAAATGAGGCTGAACCGAATTGAAATAAGTGAAATAGATCTATTAAAAAGCAAAAGGATAAATATGTACCTATAAAAATATAAAGTGCTCCAACAGAATCGTCAACGACACTTAATATGCACCAACGTCATTCAAAACATAAATAATCCAATTTCCCCATCGGGTCTGTTAAACTATCCCAGTGAAAAGTTTCTTCGAAAGAATCCTCAGACCTTTCGAAAGTCCAAAACAAGTATCCATAATGACTATACAGCTGATACTGGTGTCTGAAACTATCAGGTTACCAAAAACTTGAGTTTGGGACAAACTTTCACAGTTCATGACATTCACTGAACTTTGCCATAGGCTGTTCTTCACGTACTCGTTACACATGCTGCCACTGAGATCAAATTATGACATCAGTCGAGTAGAGATCAGGTAAACCCAAGTAAAAAAAAAAAAAAATGAAAGAGATACGACTCACTCAAACGTATTACTTGTGGCTGGTGGGGGAATGGCGGAAAGGAGTATGCGGAGATGGGAAAATGGCGAATGCGCAAGGGAAACAGTAATTAATTGGGTAAACGAGAAATTGCAGGGTAAATTGGCAAGACGATTTAGCATACAAACCCTTCTTGCAGTAGCAGTAGCAGTAGTGGTGACAGCAAGTATGGCATCAGCCAAGGGCTAAATCAACCCCTGCCTGGATTACCACTTGCCATGCTACTAAGTAGAGCCGCTTGATTACTAATCCTCATCCCTCTTAAAAGGGGCTTGGACAATTATAGGGATAATTAATTGGGCTTCGAGGCGGGGGGGGGGGGGGGGGGCATT